CCCCAAAACCCCAAAACCCCAAAACCCCAAAACCCCAAAATTTAAATAAATATTGAATGGAGTCTTCCATTATTAACAGACAGTCTTGAAACTCTTATAAGACCGAATCTGGGCAGACTGAGTCAAAGCACTGTAACTCAAAAGAGAAAATGGGGACTATAGTTCCAACAATTACAATAATGAATTCCTCGACCAAGAAATAGGCTGAAACCGTCTAAAAAGTCTATAAACCCCAATAAAATTCCAAAATTCAAGCTATCAAAGCCCCTCAGGTCTACCAAGAAGAGGCCTAATCTACCTCAAAACACCAGTAAGACAGAAGAAGTCCTTAAGATTCTTCCTGGCATTTTGAAATAAGGAATTTCAAGCTAAGTATCAGAATAAAAACCTGTTAGACTTCTTATGAAAGACTATAATCATACAAAGTGGGGCTGACAAAATACAGGATGGATCTAAAATAGATACCACAGAGGAAGAGTTTAATACTGAAAAATTGATTGATCCGAATAACAATATATCTCATTTTCAATACCAGAGTAATAAAGGTTCATAACTTCTTGGCTTGAGTTCTTCTAGCAAATAAAAATAATTCAGACTTCTTAGAATCATTTGTTCTCTCTTTCAGACTTTCGACAATCCTTATTCTCCTGAATTAGAGGAAAGTAGCCCTCAGCTTATTAATTTTTATTAAAATGCAAATTTTAGATGATAAAATAAAAGTTGATGAAGAGTATACCGAAGATGATACCTCCAAATTCTCCAGAACTCAAGGAAACTGGCACTGAGATGACATTAACTCTTGGTATTCTTGGCATTTTCAACTCATAGGATGCATTCTAATAAGAAGAAAACCAAAGTATCTAACTCAGGAAAAGCCAAGAGTTTTCACCCAAACAGAAACAGTACTTTAGTCAAATAGCTTTAGATAATGGATCAATGAGAATAAAGCCACTTAAAAGAATACCTTCCGATCTATTTAAAATAAAAATTGAGCATTTGAGGCATCGTAAAAATAAGACTTGAGAAAGACTAGGGCTGATTCCACATCATCAAGAGCAAACTCAAGCTAAAAAGGAGAATCTCGAGTACATTTCTATTTCATCTCTAGCTTAAATTGTCTCACTGTTGTCAAAGCCAAGCGAAGAGAGGCATTGGTACCCTAAAAGTGGTCAAATATAGAGCAACTCCCGTGCAAGAAGCAATACTTCATCAAAACCAATAAGACTAAAGAAAGATTGTGTTAACATCCCGATCAGGTCAATTGGGTTAGAGCTCAAGACTTCCAACACTAAGAGTAAAAATACAAATGAATTTTAGGAAGCAAAAGCCAAAAATAGAAAGACTATTTTGACAACATCTTCACAATGAGCAGGGACAATCCATTACGGGTCGGAAGGAAGAAGCTTAGATGCTAGGCCAAGCACCCAATTTGGAGCCCATATCTACCGTCTTTCTGAGTAAATCTCATAATTCATTTCCAGGTTTTCAAAAAATATGAATCAAAATATGAGCTTATACAAGCATTCGATCATTAATAAAGACTTATTGAAACAGAAGAACAGACTTCATCTTGTCTCAAAGAAGAGAAGCAAGAGATTCCAAAGTTGAAGCCAGAGCAGAGAGAAAGTGTTCAGAAGGAGAGACTACCAACAACCGAGTTTCTCTAAATATGTCGAACTGAATCAAACGTCATAGCTAGTTTAAAAAATATCAATTGATATTTTCTTAAGAGGGGTTTTGGGGTTTTGGGGTTTTGGGG